CGCCCAAGCGCAATCGAGGAAACTCTCGAGCAATTTATATTTTTAGAAAAGAGGCCATATTGAGTGTCCGAGATAGACAAAAACAAATAAGAGTACCTTTAAAAGCCTAGGAAACCCTAATTAACACGAAAATATGTCCTGAAAAACAGCTAAACTATAAACATGGTAAAGATTACAAATGGGCCAAAGGAGTTCTAACAAGGGGGCTCAACATAGGAAGTTACCCCAAATATGCAAAAAATGATGGATTCTGCTAAAGTATAGCAACCTTAAATGAGCTTTCCTAATTGATGTGATGGGCTTGTTAAAAGTTATGGCTTGTTCATGCCATAACAAACTCAACCCACTTCCTCGCTCGTCTTTTTGAATTATACCTTTTTCATCATTCTAGAAATTTCGTCTCCGAATCGCATTTGCTACACATTTGCACGCTTTAAATTTTTTTATATTGGTCACACGTTTTCGACTGGGCACAAACAGATTTTTACACTGTAAATGGAAAAATTCAATTGCTAGAGGCCGTTAAAAAGTTGTTAAAAGTTACAAAAGAAAGATAAAAAAGAAAGAAAGAAAAGGCCATTCCAAAGCATGCCAGGCCCATAACAAATATCTGTGCTAGCACAAAGGTATATTTTACTTTTTTCGTGATTCTAAAAGTTAAGTGATCTTTGAAACTGCCGTGCTGGTTCTTGGATTTAGGTATCGCGTGGCTATACAATGTATCACATGACAGCGACACGAGATGCATCAAGCCAATTAAAATTGAATGTTTTCAAGATTAAGCACCAAATAAGATGAGACACAAATCACCCAGATAATGTGATTGGTTGGTTATACCACGCCAGTTTGTGTAATCAACATATAAAATACCTTATACTATCTCTGATCTCTCTCACCTTAGTTTTCACTCATCTTTACTTAGAGAAAAAGGTAATAATTGAACGGGAAAGACAAGTTTCTAATAACTTCATTGGGAAGCACCTGCACTTGGCCCTACCCAATTTAACGTAAAATTAGAATCTAACACGTGGAGATGCACGGGACTGATTAAATTTTACTCATTACTACATACAATTTGTAATGGAATTTGCTTCAAAAAAATAAAAAAATTGCTTGCAAAATACATGAAGAACTCAAATAACATAATTACGTAGCATCACGAGTCATGCAAAAAATACTACTATAATGTTAGCTCAAAAGTAATGCGAAATCAAAAGTTAAGAACAAAAACAAAATAATAAAGTGTGGATCTTATAGAAAGTAAAACTCTCATTAAGACCACTCGCCTGGGTGGCGCTACTGGAGCGCGCACTCTTCCTCTCGCAAAAGGTTGAATGTTCGAATCCCGGGCGCCGCAGAGTGACTTAACCGGTGGCACGTGTGTGGTGGCTAGCACGTGTCGCCCCCAGGGTTTACTCCCCTGGCTGTTGGCCGTGCGGAGGTTCCCTGGGTTACCAAAAAAAAAAAAAAAAAAAAAACTCTGATTAAGAAACTTTCCAGCACCTCCGTATTCTCTTACTATTTAAATTTTTGTATTTTGCATTGATTTGAGTTCATTTCGAAAGTAAGAATCCACAGGAATGTGAGTTTGGAGGAACTTCATTAGAAAATAGAAATCCTCAGGAGAACATGATCCTATCGTTACCATTTCAGCCACTTATTCATAATAACATATTGGATAAACATAGTTGTTTCAGGGTCAGGTGAAAGAACGAATATAAATTTATATAGATAAAGAAAATTTGTTTGGAATATAATATAAAAGTCATCGGAAAACTCTCAAAGGACCACATCATGTGATTACTAATTTACTATCCATCGTGCAATCACTTTAATATATGTGCAAATAGTGAAAAACCTGTGTTTTGCAGCGAGTATCGTTTTTATCTTAAATTTTATTTTTGTAGATGCTTAATAATTTTTTTTTACATTGATGTAACTATTCATTCATTTTTATTTGCATTGCTAATAAGAAAAAATTACTACATTTTGTTTAAATCACGCAAGAGAATCAAGTTGTACACATGTCGGGAAAGATCCTCTTTATGGAGAGACTCTCCTTCTTAAGAACACGGAGTATTTATTATATCCTTTTTCCTTATTAGAAGGTAATTTGATCTATGCCAAATCAACAAAATTATCTGCACATTTCATCTATGAAACTGAGTTGGTAAATATGTCCTTTTTATCAAATTTTGTCTGGACCAGACCATAATATATGATCAACGTAATCAAAATTGCACGTTTTTTTTTCCAAAGTAGAAATCAAAAGTAAGGATCATTTTCATATCAATTTCAATTACACAATAAAATCAATTGAAATGAAATTATTGCTTAATTAATAAATTAAACTCTACTCAAAATTCCTGATAAAAACAATTATCCCATTCATTCTTAATGAGATAATAGATGGCAAAAAAAAGGAAAATAGAGAAGAAAGAGTAAATAAAAAGACTAACCCTGCCTCGTGATATATGCCCATTATATTAAAACCCTCCTTTATATTATAGTAAATTTACAGATATATGGTCAACAAAAGGGAGAACATGACTGTCCACGTGCTGGTAATTAAGCTGGGTGTAAACAACAAAATCTTTCTCAAATGTTTAGGCAGTTTCGATCATTTCCAACATAAAAGCTGCCAGAAAAGACCGTAAGAATCAGAGAGATTGCGTCAGGACAAGTGTGATTGAAACAAGTTCGAGCTCTGTTCCTGTCGGACATGGAGCTTAATAAGATAAACACAGTAGTCTAAGAGCCTATTTAGTAACCGATCAAATAGTGCATGATTCTATTATTTTGTTCTCAGGAACAAAAAAAATAGAAATCCATTTAGTAAATTTTTTGTTCCCAGGAACAAATTTGTTCCCAAAAATAGTTTTGGAATAGAATCAAGAATAAAAAAAAAAGTTGATTCTTGATTCCAGGAACAAGAATAAAAAATAGAAAAGAAAATTTTTTTTTCTTCTTCTTTTTTGGCCTGTGGTCGGTGGCCGGCGAGGACATTGCGGCCCTTGCCGGTCACAAGTGAGGCCGAGGGCTGGACCCTCGCGGCCTGGGCGATGGCTGCCCTTGCTGGATCTGGCAAAGGTTGGACCCTCACCCAGGCCGCGAGTGGCGAGGGCGGCCCTCACTGGCCTCTTCCAACCCTATCGAAACGTAGGTTGAAAGCATCTAGGACTCAGGAAAACTTGATGTTGATATGGTAATGTTGTAAACAATCATACAAGAAGAAGTAGAGAGACCTTCTTGTCCGAGGGGCATAAGGAGAAAACTCACTGATGTGATGAAACAATTATAATTATAAATTCATGGCATTACCAATTTACATGCAATTACGGTGTTGAAAAGGAATTTGTTTCATTAAGATATCACCTTATTCCCTCTTCCTAAAATTGAAATCAGCATTGAATGTGCTTAGCCTCGAGAAAACAATTGGTATTTTTGGGCTCAAAAGGGACGAAGAAGATGGGTATACCGGATAAGATGTCAACTCAATTGCATTTGTTTGGTAGCACATGCTTGTAGAAATAGCTTCAGATTCTAATTACTAAACACATCTAGAAAATATCACGAAGAATGCTTCTCTCGCTCAATTTCCAGTGAATCTTGCCAAGACAACCTAACATCAAGCAGAATGAGTCACATAGCCCAAGGGCGGACAGCGAAGAACTAGAGGTTGAGTGAAGAAGAGCAATAGGATTAGGGGAAGAAACAAAGAGAGGTGTACCTGGCTGCGGCGGCGAGTGGCGTAGAGAGAGCCTTGCGATGGTCGTTGGTTGACGGAAAGGACAGAAAGAAGAGAATTTGAGAGGGGGAGGTTGTCTGGGTAAGCGAAGAAGATGGGAATAGAAAGAGCGTGTGTGTTTGGCCCCTTTTTCTTCCATTTTTTCTTTCTTTCTTTTTTTATAAGTTTACATTTTGACCCCTAAGTTTTTGAAAATTTATAAAATTGACCCCGTGCGTGTCGGAATCGCGTGTCGAAGGCATTGACCGCATGTCGGAAATCTGACACTTGTTTGATCTCGTGTCGGTGTCGACACAGACACGTTGGCCATACCAATGTGTCGGTGCTACATAGGTAGCAACAACCTGTATCTCTCCCGTGTACTTGTTGGGTCCAGACTTGTTGGTAACTTGGACTCTGATGTTAGCATGGCGACCTTGATTATCATGTAATTGCGAGGGTCAATCATTAGTTCTGAATGACGCGGTCGTTCGGATTAATTTTAGGATCGTTCGAAATTCGTACAATGGCCATGCGGAATCACCCTCGATCCAATTGCATACATTTGCGAATCGTTCCATAACCATTTTTGGATTGGCCTATAACGGCCCAAAATATCCCCTCGTCAATTCTTATGGTCGAAATATCAATCTATGGCCAAGTTCTTAGGTCCACGTACTTGATTCCTAGCTAGCCATTTCCTAACGGTTAGTCTACTCGAGAGTGATCAATTCCGAGCGAGATTTAACTGAAAGCACGTTGAATAAATATTCATTTCATAAATCCCGAAAATGAGTCGAAATTCAGAATGTGACATAAGCTTTTCTGTGAATGCTACTCAGTTTGACGAAAAATATGAATACATGAGAAGGACGTGAATCATTTATCCGGCACGGTATCTTTGTTGTTTTAATAAATTTCGACAATTAGTTTATGATGAGATTTTTATCAACTATTGAGATATGTTGAGGCACCGAAGGAAGTACCATGCAAAGCAGAGCATTTTCACCCGTAGAGCGACAAGGCCAACCATCCTTTTGAAGAGCTCTTGAAAATCTCCATGTGTGAGTATGCATGCAGGAGATATCCTAAAACATCCTAATCCTGACAGTACATAGTCAAGGGAAGGAAAGAAAGAACGAACTTCATATATCATATCAAAACCAAACTATGGACTTTGCTTTATAGTATGGCATCATCCTGTCTATTGCCAGAGTCATCAGTGAGCAAAGAATGTACATTTAGATCATGGAGGGAAAAAAAGGTCGAAATTTTACTTATCTTCTCGATCAGATCTCTCTTTCTCCGTCTGCTCTGTTGCCGACTGCATCCCTTGCTCGTATGTGAACTGAGTAATCAAAGCCACTAGAATCGCCCCAAGGACCGCAACTTTTCTCCAATCGGGCAAGGAAGAGATGAAAGAGTCAGCGATCCCGGCAACCAGGATGCCAATCAGCACGAGGTAGATGTTCCTTCGGGTTTTCGACCCGGCGCTCTGTTTCGCGACGTATTGGATCTTCTTCGCCTCCTCCTTGGCTTTCGCCTTCTCGACCGGCTTCTTCTGGGTGAGGCTCTTGAAGAAGAGCCCCTCATTGCGGTCCTTCTCGACCTGTCCCTCGAATTCTGCCAGCTTCTTGTCGCTCTCGTCGATCTCCATTTTGTTGAGCTCCGTGGATTCTTCAAATGCTTGCATTCTGCTCTCTATGTTCTCCATTATCTGCCAATAATACGTGCAAAGGAAGATATACATGTGCTTTCAAAAAGATACCCGAAAAATTATGTTTCTCCTTGTAAACATGATGTACGACAATGAAAGCAATATCAAGAAATATCTCCCTACTAGAAAAGGTGCACACACCTGCGTGCATACAAAAAATTAACATTTAAAAGATTTTGCAAGATCAACTTATTATAAATATTTAAATTACTAACTAATGAAAAAGATATTATTTACATAATACAGAGAAAGTATACATGTACATACATAAAGAGAAAAAAAAAACATTAGAAGTGACACCTATGACGTGATATAACCAACCAATCGGCATTACCGATTACCGACGCGCTATCAATCTTATCATACTTGACAGCATCGTGTATATACATCTCACTTGTGATTGGCCGATTACACCACGTGTTCCTATTACGTGATATATCCGCCATACAAAATACTTCTCACTAGACGGAGGGTGCAAAAGATCACCATTGTTACTTACGTTAGCCCAAAAGTTTATTATGCAACAGTAGTATGCTTAGCATATAAATTAATTCCAAGCGTAATATCATAATATCAAGTAAACTGCAAAAATTTAGTACCAACCGATATTCTTTTTGCCATTTCCCAAATTAGAAGGCAGCATTAGAAAGAGAAAAAACCAATTTCGAAATGTTCTTTTTTAATATTTTCCACTTCGACCAATCGCACTCTCCTATCCCAATATCTAATCGGATCTGGAAAAATCATGAGGATGCACACAACCGGTTACCCGCTTCGTCAAGGCCTCGGAGAGCGTCCTCCCCGATCTTGTCGAACTCGTCGCCGGCCTCCTCGCCGAACTGGGTAAGGTACGCCGACCGCTCGTCCAAGTAGTCGGTGAGCCGGACCTTCTGCGCCTGGAACATCGCCATCTGGGCCAGCAGCTCCTGCTTCCGGGTGTCGCCCTCCGGCGGCGGCGGCGGCGGGAGAGGGGCCGGAGGAGGAGGAGGAGCCGTCGTGCTTGCACCTGCACAGTGAGAGGGCCGGGCGCTTCTTCTTAGGGTTGGGGTTGGAGGGGAGGAAGGCGGAGGGGTCGGTGGGGGAGAAGGAGGTGTGCAGTGTCACGCCCCGACCCTCGAGCGCACTAACATCCCACCAAGGTCGTTATAAATGCGATGTCCTAGGATGCATCGCCGACCCAATCGAATTACTAACGATTAAACGCATGCGGAAGCGAACTTAATTCACCCAACAGCAATCAATAAACGGGATAGTAAGGAAAACACACCTCAATTTAAACAACATCATCAGCAATACATCGGGTTAATATATTACAAGTCCGCCATGCGAACCTTCCCGATTACAACCAGAACAGGTAGGGGTTAACCTAGCTCCTCTATCTACGAGGATAATCGCAAAAGGTATTCTCCCTCAAAAAGCCGGTTCCCAAGAAACGGTACGTGTACTCATTTCGGATGACCTGAAAAGTGGTTAACAACAACGGATGAGATAAATCTCAGCGAGTTTACGACCTAAGCCTCGACTAGGAGGTCAACTCATCTCTGATGTACCTAACCCATGCAACGATACATCGATGGCAGACAACTCAATATAGAACATACAGGTACTTCACAACACAATCACAGGCAGCCTTACCTTGTCTTGGCACATGCACACGCCCTATACGTTATAATTCACCATATGCCATGATAATCCAATAAGCATATAATGCAATCAGAATACGCATCAACCATCGGGCACGGCATCGTCTCACCAACCTCAATGACGGCATATCCCATAAATGGGCTCATTCCGAATCCGATTCGCGAATGACTACGTCTCCCCTGCTACCAGCGACGGCTTCCAATTACCAAATTGGGGACACCCGTTAGGGCCACGGCCAAACCCTAGGTTGGCGGTCATCCGGTATACGGTTTTCCGGTATAACCGGGCACGAAAGGAACCTTTAGGTGATCATGCACACATAGCAACACTCAGGTTCCATCATTATAATTTTCAATAGCAGATGTAAACATGATCCGTGCTAATAGGTTGAAATATTGCAACTTTCACACGTAAAAAAATGTACTAAAATATTCACACGTGATTATGCACATATCAATAAATTCCCAATCTTGGCATGCTTCTATATTCAAGTATCCACAACATATTTCTCACATAAAACTTAACAAATAAACCCGACACCTCAGGGTTTATTAATTAAATACCCGTAATTTTATATTTCACCGTAACCAAACAATTCAATTTGGCATACAAACCAATATATAAGGCAAATTCTAGCTTAGGCATCACAATTTAAGCCTAAAATAAACACAATTTAATTTCGGAATTTCCACAAAAATATTAATAAAATAATAATATTTTTAATTCCGAAAATTAATAAAATATTATTATTTTATTTCCGAAAATTAATAAAATAATAATATAATTAATCAAATAGATTATCACTAATCCTTAATCAATGAGTACTAAGCACAATTAACTTAAACTAATCAATCCTAAGCAAGTTTAACATACTAATCAAAGGATTAGTGCGAAAACTCACCCGCTTAAAATTCCGGAGACACCGGTGCGTCGGCGGCGGCGAGGGCTACGCTTTGCACGGTCCGGAATTGACACGGAAAGACGACTGGGTCTCGGCTGGACAGCAGCTTTGGGGCGGCTGTTTTTGGCTCGGCGGCCTTGAACCGGCGGCGGAAAAAGGCTTGAACGGGCGGTGTACGGCTCCAGGAGAACACGGCGAGCTGCTGGTGGTTCAGTAGTGGTGTAAGGCAGCAAGAACAGCAGCCCAAAGGCTGTTCTGCTGGTTTGGTCGAGAAAGGAAGAAAAGGGGGAAGAAGAGTGAAAATTGAGAGGAAAATGGAGAGATAGAAAAGAGAGAGAAGGGGGTGGACGTGAAATGAGAGAGAGTGAGGAAAGAGAGACAAAAGAGAGATATTTCTCTCATTTAAGGCAAGCCTTCAAAGTCCTCTTTCATCATTCAAAAATGCACAAAAGTCTTCTTTCTCTTAAATGCCTTTGTTTCTTTGTCATAAAAGCTAGAATGGTATTTTGGTAATTTCACAAGGTATAAAAATATTTATATGCGTATACGAGCTAGAATTTTGTACGAACTCGTATAAATCAAATTTGAGCTCAAACGGATTATGAATGGACTTGAAAATGCTAATGGGCTCAAACTTGGGTTTGAATTCAAATTGGGCTTGAAATTGGGTTCAATGGGCTAAATTGGGCCACTTGGGTTTGCCTTGGGCTCATGTGGCCGAATCACATTGGGCTTGAGACCCAATGTGCCTTCATCCGGCCCACTTCCTCGTGGGCTCAAATTCTCGGCCCGATAAATCATTTTCCGAGAATTTCGAGCAAACCGATAAACGAGCAAATCAATGAGGCGGTGTCCAATAATTTAGTTTTGAAATCCTCGGAGATTCGACATCCAAATTCGGATTCTAATTCTTGGTAAAAATCAATCAATTCCGACTTTAGTATATCTCAAACTAACGGGCGGCTTTTAGGAGTTACGCGAATTCGACCCGTGGTTGATTCGGTATCAAACCACATTTATGTTTTCTCGAACCATGGATGATCTCGATTGTCATGTAATTGCGAGGGATCAATCGCTAGTTCCAAAGTACGCGATCATCAGTCAATGGGTTTAGGATCGTTCGCAATACATACAACGGTCAAGCGGAATCACCCGCAATCCGATTGTATGCTATTGGCGAATCGTTCTATAACCATCCCTTGATCGGTCTATAATGGCTCAAAATTGTCCCTCGTCAATCTTTATGGTCGAATTGTCAATCCCTGGTCGAGTTCTCAGGTCGTGCATACTTAATTCCTTAACAGCCTTTCCCTATCGGTTAGTCTCTCATGAGTGATTAATTCAGAGTGAGAATTACTAATAGTGCATCGATTAAAATCATCATTTCATTACATCCCGAATATGGTCGAAATTTGAGGATGCCACATGCAGGATTTTGAGTGCGATCATCGTTTCGAAAATCTTTTCTTTGGTTGAAAAATGGGGAAGAAGAAGGAGAATGAGAAGAAGAGGAAGAAGGGATTTTTCTTTTTTGTCATTTTCTGGGACTGTTTTTGGACCTCTCGTTCTTGTGCTGCATTATCTCATTCTTACATGCTGCCTAGTTATAATATTATTATTAGTCCACATGGTGAGTAATAATAACTCATGAGCGATGATAATTGTCGTTATATCTTAGGCCTTCCGTCAAATTGCTCAATTTGACAAATGGGACATATCGCTTTTTGACCCGATTTGTAACAGCCCGAATTTCGATGTAATTCCGGGATCAATAAAACTGATATTAATTCGCATTTCATTTTAGTAAGTCTCGCCCGGAGCTGATCACTCTCGGGATACTAACCAATGGGGTATGGCTAACTGGAAAAAACGGTACGTGGACCAGGGATCCGATCGTGAAGCGGATACCGATCACGAGAAATGATGAGAGAATATTATGAACCAATGTGGGCCGATCTTAGGGAAGGTAATGGATTTGGTTTGGCCAAGGCCAACGATGTACAATCGGATCGCAGGTGATTCTGCACGACCGAGAGTGCACGTGGCCAACCAGTCCTGAACTTAAACCGGACGATCGTGACCTCTGAGACTAGTGATAATATCTCATTCTCTCAATGATCTGGACCATCATGACTCGGATAACCCTAGGTCGATACGCGTAACCTCTAAACAGCCGCCCGTTAGTGAGAGACCCTGAAATTTGAAATCGAGCGAGTTATGATCACGAAATTGGGCTCGGATTTCAATGCCGATTTTCGAAGGCTTAAGAGACTATTTTTGGGAATCTGACGTCATATTATGCTGGCCACGCATATTTTGAGTAAGTATGGTTGAAAATTGGAATTTCGATCCGGGATTGAAAAATTACGATTTTGCCCCTCGGGACGCCAGCGTTGCATTTAGAGACCAAATGAGGTTATTTTTTCGAGGTCGACACCATTTTAGGGTGGCCACGCATACCAGGAGTCGTTATGGCAAAAAATTGGAATTTTGACAGAAATTGGAAAAATAATATTATTTTATTCCCGAAACTTTGCAGTCGATTTTTGAAGGCTTAAAGGGCTGTTTTCGCGATCCCGACACCACATTATGTTGGCCACGCACATGGAGGGTTGGTACGGGCGAAAAATGGAACTTCGCCCCGGGATCGGAAAAATGACGGTTTTGCCCCTGGGCTATTTTCGGGTCCCAATTTTTAGGAAATTATTTGGGATAATTATTGATGATTATCAGCTGCATTATTGGGGCTAAAGACCATTTTACCCTTCACTTTTTGGATAAGGATTAATTAGGGCCGTTAGATTAGGGGCGTTTTGGTCATTTTGCCTAGATTGGCGACACATGGCGCCCTAGCCCCTATTATTTGACCAGAATTTAATCCTCTCTCTCTCCTCTCACTCTCACTCTCGGCCAGAGCTCTCTCTCCCCTCCCGATCACTCTTTCTCTCCCATTTTCTCTCTCGGCTTGGCTTTGCCGGAGCTCACCGCCGGCCACCGTGCCTCGCCGTCGACCACCTCTGTCCCCAGCCTCAGCCTCACCCGACCCCTTTCTCTCCCTTTTTCTCTCCCGGGTTAGCACCGCCGCCGCGCCGGAGCCTCACCGCCGCCGCGCCGGAGCCCGATCGGCTGAGCTGTTGCCACTGTGACGTTGTCGACGTCCGTACGTCACTGTTCATCGCCGTCCATACAGCGTCCGTACGGTCACTGTTCACCGCCGTCCGTACGGTCACTGTTCACGCCGTCCGTACACCGTCGCCGGGAACGCTGCCGCCGGTTCCACTGTTCACCAGTGATTGGCCGCCGTTCCTCGTCGTCGTGACCTTGAATTAAGTGAGTATACCTCCTAAACCTGGATTAGGACTGATA